GTCTAGACAGAAAGATAGAGACATTTACAATAGGTTATGATATACACTGCCGCTAACGTTCATGAGCACGGATTCTATTGGGACATCATTCCCTATGCAGTCTCCATCACCAATAATGAGAGTACACTAGGTGTGAGGATGGTTGGAGTACAAGGATGCTTACTATGCTCTAGTATTTGTACCGTTTCTTTAGCTACTTCCTCTCAGTAGCTCTACGAATTGTGGGCTCGATCAGCAAACCTGAAATTCACGGCTTCTTCCATCATACATCCGGCACCACTAAGTACAACAAACTCTCATATAGGTTCATCGTATGCACATCAATGGTCCAAAGTCACATATTTGGTGAAAAATACAATGGTTATTATAGTGGTTATACTGACGCTTAAAGAGATCATTAAGCGCAGTTGCCTACCTTCACGGTCTTGGCGACATATTTCCGGACGTGTAAGTGTTCAGAACACATTTATCGTGCAAGTGATGCCCAATGCAGGAATGAGGTGTCGAAGTACTAAAAGAAGTCTGTTTCTTCCTCGATTCAATTATTGATGTTGATCGGTGAGCATTCTTAAAGGCTACCACTACGAAAGTATGGGTCATCCAGTGAGTCGGAAAAAAAATTCACGCTATGAAGCACTTTGTCGGCAGGTGAGGTTACAGCAAGTAATCATTTTCATACAGTTCACGGTAAGAGGAATTCAAATAATCAAAACCACAAGGTGGCATATGATTGGGACTTTAATTTATAAGTTGCAAAGTAATACAAGCAGAGGGGGTGAGTTTTAATTGTACGTGTATGGAAAAGAAGTTAGGCTGTGGAACCGAGTCTTAAATGTCAAAAGTTTGATAATCTTTGCAGCGGTATTTAATGACATATGCCATTAATTAGTAGAACTAATTTGAATGTCAAAATAATATTCAGAAGAAAGAATGATTTTGACGAAGTGCATCCGTTGCTGCTTCTTGCTATTTCTTACATGGAAAATGAAGGCAAGATAATTTCAACCTAAACGTTCAAGAAGTGGCAATTTCCACTAAATTCTAATTTTAACACGACTGCATTACGACTGCCTACATTGGCTAGCACATCCAATAATGACTTGATGGCATGCCAGATATAACAGTATTATTGTAAATTACGTCAATATTTCCAATACTGTTGGTTATTTTGTTTATAAATATCACGAAATATCTACTCACAGTAAAAAATTATGAAAGGACAATTTTATTTGAAATCACTGGATCATTATCAAGCTACCTTGATTCGCATCGCCGTAATGCTATCAGAAGCTAAAATTCTTGTCACTATTTACCACATTTGCAGATGTTCAATCCCCTAGCTGCTTTAGAGCCAAATCAGTGAATTCTACAGCCAGTAATGTAATATCAGCATGTCACCAAGTGCCTACATAAATGTTGCAATTTTTTTTCAAAAAAAATAGGTTTTCTACATATTGGCCTTTGGTTTCTATCACCGGTTCACAATGGCTTATCAGCTAATTGGCTGCAGCATAAGTATTTTGCAATTATTGGTTATGAAAACGCCAATCCATGCAACTGGTGTAGTAGTCGGCAATGTGACTAAATTCACACACTCATCACTGCTAACTTAAACAAAGCAATTTATGTTCGGTAAATCGCCTCAGTGCAACGGTTGCGGTGGC